AAAAATGACCCACAACATTATTGATATACACTCACATCTCACATCTAAACGTTTTGCTGGGGCAACCTTGTCTTATATGCATCATCTAATTCCCGTCACGAAATGCGCGTTTCTGAATCATATCGACATTTTCTGGTCWACATAAACGTACGGCTTATTTATGTGGACGCGTTACGGCAATTTATTGGTATAGTACCCAAACATTAATATTGTATAAAGTATTTTCTTACAAATAATCGTTCGTGTTTTGTCTTGTGAGTTAAAAGTTTCCATATTATATTATAAAAAAAAAAAATGATTTCTTCATCCAAAAATCGTGAAATATTATAATTTTTTAATTTATACTGCTACTTCATTTATAAAAAACAATGTATTAAGCTATATTATATATAAACGATATACCAAAATTAAAAATACTAATTTTTCAACATTATTATGTACAGTCATACACAGCGTATAAAATTTGCAAACTGCATGTAATTATTGTGTATGTGCGTTCGTTTAAAGTTGTCGTTTAGAATTAATCGTTCTTTTCATCTGTTTCTTGACCCGTGATATGACGTCATGTATCGCGATAAAACTGACCAATACTTTTTCACGTATATATCATTGATAATGTTACTCATTATATTATATTAAAAAACTATTTTTTAAATTTTGTTTCACTTGTGAATTACATAATATTACATAATATTTTTAAAGTTATAACTTCTTTTTGATCTATTTTGGTCTTAGATCTGCTATTTTCTAATACATACCTAATTTGTCGATAAGTTATATTAAAATARTTTTTTAACAATTTTCTCCTACATATTTAAAAACAAAGTCCTCGTGCTTACTTTCGCTTCTGTTGAATAAAAATTTAAAAAAAAAATGTTATCCAACGAATAATTTAATATGTACAAATCGAAATATTTTTCGTAAATCTATCATCTATTATTATAATTTGTTAGAAATTCGTTGCGCATACACTAAATACTTTAGTATACTGAAGACAATGATTTCATTATTCAACAATAAACGATGAAACAGTTACACATTGTAATAATGATGTCTGGAGTTAAATTGGACCAATTTTATACCTTATAAAAATTCTACGTCATAACATCAAATCTATAGTGTCTAACTAAAATTACGTTGTTATTGTAACGTATAGTATCTATATAATAAGATGAATTTTGATTTTTAACTATCTGGAATAATAGTTTAATATTCCACACGACCACGCTATAACCGACACTTATAAGTTGTTCCTTTTTATCTACCTCTTCCATCTGCCTTTTTTCATAAAATTYGTAATTATTATAAATACATATAATTAATTTAATTTTTTTGTTTATTTAAACAAAATCTCAACTGACCAAAAGTAAATAGGTATATACGTTTGAAATAAATAATAATAATATTTTTGTTAAACTTATATTTAAAGTATACCTACCTATTAATTTTCGACTGTATTAAAATATCTTAGTCATACACTGTAAATATTGTTATTAATTATTAACAACAATTTCTATAAGAATTACATCGATTCGATTATATAATACTAATATATCATAATTTACCATAATTTGAAGCAAACAAATTATATATTTAAATCGACTAAAACTAATATTACTTTCAATTTTGTTTTACAATAGATTTGTCCACAGACTGATTATTTTTGTAACTAATTAACAATAATTTTAACATTTTGAACCGATATACATAAATAATTTTGACTTTGTTTCTGTATAATGTTTTTATGATGCAGCAAAATAGTTTATTAATTGTTCTATTTATTATATTACACTAAGATGATCCTCGCGTCATAATCATCACAAGAACAAGTACTGAAGTACCCACACAATGTTCTGAAACGWGAACAATTCGTCAACCTGATTACGCAATCAGTAAAGAGGGAAAAGTTTGTATTTAAAATTTTCATAGATTTATGATATAAACAGGAAAATCTTATATAACTATGCAGTGTACAATTCCGTATATGTTCATTTATAGCGATTACAATAAAGACATGTAAATACATTGTTAAGTGACAAAATAATATTAATTTATTACTCGAATGTCATAAATATATTTATAAAGTGCGCGTTTTTATTGTAAGATTTATAAAATGACTGTACTTATTATCAAAGACGACCTTATATTCAGACTCTATTTTATTGTGTCGATAAYTATGTGCTTCAATCTTCAATACTTACACTATCAATAATTCATTGATTTTAGGAGAGTTGTACAACTTTGGTGTCAGAAAAGCTTAGTTGCGTCCGAAAATGTAATATGTGAGTAGGTGGTATTTGTAGGTTCTATCATATCCCAGTTTTTACAATTATAGGGAGATTTCAAATCGGTTATCCACGACTTTCCSACTTGACCGACCAGATTTGTTGGTGCTTTCTATCCAAGTTCTTTTTTGCTGATACATGGGGATTTYAAAACGTTTATTCATAACTTTTCCACTTACATATATCTTACTCAGTTTCACAACCAATATATTTACTGTTTTAGTTTTTATCAAACTTTTTTTATTTTCAGTTATTTCAATTTATATGGACAAATAATAATTAAATAACTTGTAGATTCATGGTCTAGTGGGCTAAGGCGTTGAGCGTAGAGTTTGATAAATTGGAATTAAGTTTGAACTTAAGTTAAACTATTCATAGGTGTTTGCAATTTTCGA